TTGATGAGCTCAAAGTCGACGTCTCTTCGCTCCATGTCTGCCACAGTGAGGACGGCATTCACAGCGATTTCAGCCATTTGTCGATGGCAGCTGTTCACCCTGAGAAAACACACACCTTTCTCACATTCCTTACACAACTGCAGTAACCAATCCAGCACGTCATGCAACTCAATGGGTCTAGGAAAACCAGTGCTCCTTCCTTTCCAAGTTCAAAGCAGACCGGGGACAGTAACGGCCTAGGCAAAGCAATACATCTGAGCTGTGCAAACCCCTTATGATTTGAACCAACTCTACTTCCAAGTCTTGACACCTACATGTACTTTGATTTTCCTCTAAAAAGGCATGAATCATCTGGTGGTGGCCAGGTCCACCTTAGAGCAGGATGCTCAGTTATCTACTCAGATACTAACTACATTCTAGCCTTGTTTCTGTTCTGGTTATCTGGTCCTTTGCTGCAGGTGCTCAGCTTTCCTGGGTCTTCTCAGACACTGAATGAGCAGTCCTTAGGAACTTCACAGCTCAAATTTATTGCATTTGCCTTTTATTGAGACCATTTCTTCTGCTAAAATTACCAGATACATAAAAACTTCAACAGCTCTGCATTTAAATACTGCTCACAGCGTTAGGTGATTTAACCAAGAGTTCTAAGGCTGGCAAGGTAGCTCTATGGGTCAAAGCGCTTGCTGCCAAGCCTGCTGACCAACCTGGTAGGAGAGAACAGACTCCCACAAGTTGTACACGCACACACAAATGTAAAGAGTAATAACGGGGAAATGAGAGGACAAAAAGGAGGAAATAAAGACAATTACCCCATTTTCTCTCACATGTGGAATATTTACATTGAAAAAAGTGGTATCAAGCAGGAGGGGACAAACAGGAGCAAAGTACAAGGAAACACTTATGAAATGTCATAACTCTGTGTGTAGTTATGCTTTCGCTGGGTTTTAATGCCATATTTCGGCAGCAGACTGGAGTTTCAGCCACTGTAGAGAGGAGCACCCCTAGGCTGAGACCACTTAACCTTCAGGGGCAGGAGCAGACGTTAGGAAATAGTGACAGACAGGAAGGAAGGTCAATGTTAGGGCCATCCTCCTACTGACATGACATTAAAACTTTAGAGCAGTCCATCTGCTTATTGAATAAAAGCACAAATGCTTCCCCAGAGTGACTTCCTAGTGAAGAGGGGAGGGAAAAGTGTTGGAAGAACTTTATAGGCAGAGTGACTTACTACCTGGCAATCCCACTTCCAACAAAAACAGGAAAGCAAGCAAAACCAACCCAAACAGCAGCAAACCACACTGCTCTACTGGTAGGACACGTACACTTTGGAGCCCAGCGTGGTTTTTGCAGTCTGAATTAGGGGTTCAGGGTCGTTTATGTCAACAAGCACATGATCACTGATCTTGTCCAGGTGAT